CAAAGAGATAGAACATGAACTGGCTCTGCACACACTGAGAGACCAGGTAACACACACACACACACACACACACACACACACACACACACACACACACACACACACACACACACACGAAGGACTGATTGTTTAAAGAATGGTAGGAAATGTCTGAAGACAGTGTAGTGTAGCAATCTTCTCAAGAAAAATCACCTCTCACATTTGTAACAAATAAAACTTCAACACTGATCAGGAAACTGGCAAACGAGTGTGAAGTCAAACCTGTTGTTCATTCACACTCAATTACATGTCTTTCCTTGACATGAGGGAGGGAGGGAGGGAGGGAGGGAGGGAGGGAGGGGAAGGACATGAGGGAGGGAGGGAGATGAGGAAGTGAGGTGAGGGTTAAAGGGAGGAATTTGATGAAATGAAACGGAACTTTTACTCTGTTCTGTCACTTTTCTGTGAACATCTTTCCCTGCCAAAGTGATTCGCTCATGAAAGAATGTATTTTCAACAACAAACATGTATACACATAAACAAAACTCAAGCTATTTTATATGACGTTAAAAAATGTATAGAAAATATATTTTTAGAATCACTTTGGGAGTGGAACAGCCTTGTGTGTATTTCTGCCTGTGTTTCTGACTCTGTCCTTCTCTTGTCCTCCTCTGCTCTTATTCTCTTTCTTTTGGTTTCTACCCTAATTCTCTTACTTTGGTCCATGTTTTTACTGATCATTTTCTCTACTTTATTGGTACTTTTCTATCGTTTCTCTTTGCTTGGCTCTCTCTCTCTCTCTGCCCCTCCCCTACCTGTGGTGATCGGTACTGCAGGTAGCCAATCAGAGTGCAGTGAGTCAGGAGCAGGTGGACAGCATCCTGCAGGAGAACGATGCTCTGAGGACAAACCTAGCTGCTCTAGAACAGGTAACAAACCTGGAGAACCTCATCTAGAAGTCTAACCCCGAAACACACTCCTGTGCACTAATGTAGCTTCGATAAAAACAGGTAAAGGGTTCTATGTAATGTTCTCCACTAACACTATATCCTCTAGAGCAGGGGTTCCCAAACTTTTTTCAGTAATGTACCCCCTTTGAAACATCTTCTCAGACAAGTACCCCCTGACCGACCCTGGACATTTTTGATAGAAAAAGCCTATTTAAATCATTACAATATAGTGATGTTCCATCAGTGTGTGATTGATTAACTCCTTCACAACAAACTAAGGATATTTTCATCTTTATGCAAGAAAAAAAAGAACATAACGAAAATAAATTAAAACAGATTTTTCCAAGGAGTTTTTCAATTGAAGTGATACATGTTTAACAAACCAATACAAACAATCAATGAACAAAATGATATATTATGAAAAACTATCGAATACAATACACACATTTGACATGTTTATATAAGGACCTAGGTTCTAGGAATATTTTATATAAAATTGTGTTTTCTATTTAATTTATTGTATTAAGATTATTTTCGTAATCATGCATGTTATCTTTTTTTAATTAACCTTTTTTTTATCTCACATACCCCCTGCAGTACCCCAACGTACCCCTAGGGGTCTGCGTACCCCCATTTGAGAATCACTGATCTAAAACACCAGCAATGCTCTGAGGAAATAAAAGAGGTTCTAAAAAATTGATTAAATCTTGTTTTCTGAACCTTTTTTTAAAAGAATGATATACCTAACCATAACATATAGAAACATGTCCTTCATTGGCTCAAACATGTATAAAAAACGTATAGCAAAATATAGTTTTGGACCTTCTTGTTCTATACCTATAATCATTCTTTAAAAAGCATTTTCTTAAACCTACAAAGCTAGAAAATGTGATTTTCAGCTACAGTTCACTCAGTATGGATTGTAACCCGTCTTTCAGGAGAACAGTGCTCTGAGGACTAATCTGAGCGCTCTGGAACAGGTAACTATACCTCAGACCTGAACTAGAACCCTCTTTTAGAACCTTAACCTTAGAACCATAGTCTAAACGCATGTTAACCCCCGGTTTCTGCATAGAACACAAAGCTAGATACCTTTTTTAATGCAGTAAAACCTCCCTGTGTTAGCTGCTGGACTAATCCTTATCATAACCACAGCTGCAGTCAGTGTTGCTGAGCAGTTGGAATTAACACCATCTCACCTGCTTCACTCAGGCAATGATACAGAACGTTATCGTCAAAGTGTGCCATTAAAGCAGGTAACGGCCTGTTGTCCCGTACTATCTAATGCGTCTTTAGTCGTGGATAATGTGCTATTAGCTTCTGTCTCCTACCGCTCCCTGCTGTAACTCACTGACCCGTTTGTGTCTTTCATCAAACAGCTTTTAACTGAATCCAAACTAAACTACTCTGTTCAACTCTACTCTTTGCCCATCGCCATCCTCAGAGTCAGCTCTAGTGTGGAAGTATTTTAAAAAAGTGAATAAAGTAAGTTGTGATTTTCAGATCCAGACGGTGAAGACGCAGGAGATGAATCTGTTGCGTGAGCAGCAGGAGGCGCTGACCCTGGATCTGCAGCAGAGACGATCCGAGCAGGAGAGTCTTCTGAACCAGAGGGACGACCTGGACTCACAGCTGCAGGTCACACACACAGACGCACGCACGCAATATATCCCATGAGATGATATAAATGTTTCTATAGTAAAACCTTCCCCTTAAATATTTCTAGTGATATAAATGAAGACAGCATTGCTTTAGGGGCACATTAGACTTATATTTTTGTATCAATGTGACGAATCAGATTGAGTTAGGAGGCAAGTATTCCTCTAGCTCAGTGTTTCTCAAACTTTTTCATACCAAGGACCACTTAACCAATAAAAAAACACTCGCGGACCACCTAACTCCACAAATATCCAAAAACACATCGTTTTTTTTAAATCGCCTGAAAATGGGCCATACAAGTGGCAGCATGTGTGATGAAGGTGTTGCGCTGGGCTATATCATGCAATCGAAAGTGAAACTTAAGCTCGCTCCATTGCGGAGATATTCCCGCGAGAGTGCGGAAAACTTAAAGGTGACATGTCATGCTTTTCTGGTTATTACCCGTCCCCTTGTGTGTTATGAAGGTTTTTATGCATGTAAACGGTTGCAGAGTCAAAACCCTCAAAGTACACCCTGTAGCGAGTAAACTCTAACACAGAAAATACCTCCCCAAAACGCCTCGTTGGAGATACGTCATTGTCCATTTGATTCTTCCGGGTACATCATGATGTCATGTCGTCCCCGGAACAAAATGGACCAATCCGTGGAGCCGTTATGTTACGTCCGCGGAGGCCGTTACTTAAGCCCCGCTGATTGGTCCAAATTGACCAATCCACGGACTTCCTCACACACTCAGTGCAGGCAGCTCAGCTGATCTCTCCTCCCTGGCTGCAGGCTGATAACAGACAGTTGGGATCGCGGCGAAATTCTCTCTGCAGACCCATTCTCTCTGCAGACCCGTTCTCTCTGCAGACACCCATTCTCTCTGCAGACCCGTTCTCTCTGCAGACCCGTTCTCTCTGCAGACCCATTCTCTCTGCAGACCCATTCTCTCTGCAGACCCATTCTCTCTGCAGACCCGTTCTCTCTGCAGACCCGTTCTCTCTGCAGACCCGTTCTCTCTGCAGACCCGTTCTCTCTGCAGACCCGTTCTCTCTGCAGACCCATTCTCCTCTGCAGACCCATTCTCTCTGCAGGACCTTTATCTGCAACCCGTCTCTCTGCAGACCCGTTCTCTCTGCAGACCCTGTCTTCTGCAGACCCATGTCTCTGCAGACCCATTCTCTCTGCAGACCCATTCTCTCTGCAGACCCAGTTCTCTCTGCAGACCCGTTCTCTCTGCAGACCCGTTCTCTCTGCAGACCCGTTTCTCTCTGCAGACCCGTTCTCTCTGCAGACCCATTCTCCTCTGCAGACCCATTCTCCTCTGCGACCCGTTCTCTCTGCAGACCCGTTCTCTCTGCAGACCCCATTCTTCTCTCTGCAGACCCCCTTCTCTCTGCAGACCCGTTCTCTCTGCAGACCCATTCTCTCTGCAGACCCATTCTCTCTGCAGACCCATTCTCTCTGCAGACCCATTCTCTCTGCAGACCCATTCTCTCTGCAGACCCATTCTCTCTGCAGACCCATTCTCTCTACAGACCCATTCTCTCTGCAGACTCATTCTCTCTGCAGACCCATTCTCTCTGCAGACCCATTCTCTCTGCAGACCCATTCTCTCTGCAGACCCTTCTCTCTGCAGACCTTCTCACAGCAGACCCATCTCTCTGCAGACCCATTCTCTCTGCAGACCCATTCTCTCTGCAGACCCGTTCTCTCTGCAGACCCGTTCTCTCTGCAGACCCATTCTCTCTACAGACCCATTCTCTCTGCAGACCCATTCTCTCTGCAGACCCATTCTCTCTGCAGACCCATTCTCTCTGCAGACCCGTTCTGCAGACCCATTCTCACAGCAGACCCGTTCTCACAGCAGACCCATTCTCTCTGCAGACCCATTCTCTCTGCAGACCCATTCTCTCTGCAGACCCATTCTCACAGCAGACCCGTTCTCTCTGCAGACCCATTCTCTCTGCAGACCCATTCTCTCTGCAGACCTGTTCTCTCTGCAGACCCATTCTCTCTGCAGACCCATTCTCTCTCTGCAGACCCATTCTCTCTGCAGACCCATTCTCTCTGCAGAGACCCCTTCTCTCTGCAGACCCATTCTCTCTGCAGACCCATTCTCACAGCGTTTATCAACCTTTTTCTTACTCAATATCAAGCCACACTTATTGTTTTTACTTCGGCTGTGACTTTGTGTGCTCAGGACGAGTTTGGCTGTGTTTCGCTGTGTATCGCTAAACAAGGAAATCACACCTCCACGGAGTTCAGCGCGATTCACAACGTCCCGACTGGTCCCGACCAATCGGAGCACACTGGGCTCACAGGGAGGGGGGGGGCAAGAGCTGCAACGAGCTGTTTAGTGGAGAGAGTGAATACTGCTGAATACACATACTATACAGAGATGCTGTATGCGAAACAATGTGAGTTTGGAAAATTGCACAGTATAAATCTATTGTAGTAGACCTCAACAATGGAATTATGATCAGTGGAAATGGCCATGACATGGGACCTTTAAATTAATTAATTAATTTCAAATGTGACATTTTACCAATATACTCACTGACCACTAGGGGCGCTCACGGACCACCAGTAGTCCGCGGACCACACTGTGAGAAGCACTGCTCTAGCTAAACCAAATCAGAAAGACATGCTTTTTTTATGAATAGTTTCTCATTTCAGTTTCAAGAACGTGTTTTTTCTCATAAAGAGTTGTCAAACCTTGCTGCAGGATCAGCAAGTTGAGGCTCATTCAGTCAGATGTATTGGACATTTAATCAAACACAGATGTGTAAGTTAAAGAGCAACATGAGCAATATTTAACTTTTTGTTTTGTCATGTTGGAAAAACAACGGGACCGTCTACCCTTTAGTTATTTAGACATGTGCAAAGACCAGTTAACAGTCCAAGGAGACGAAAGGTGCTGCAGAGAAATGCTATCTATTTTCACTTAATGTGTTTCAACTGTTCTTCCTTACATATTGCCTTTGTGACCTCAGTGAAAATGGAAGATGGAATTGAGGGAAACGTGGATTTAAAGGAAGTGAGATGTGGTCGTTTCAATTAGTTCATTTCTCTTTCCCTTCTCTTCTTTCTTCAGGAGTCGAGTTTTGCCAACAGGAAGTTGTTGGAGCAGCTAACAGAGGAAGGACAAGAGAAGGACAAACTGCTCAAAGATCTGGACGAGTCCAAGAAGGTACACACACACACACACACACACACACACACACACACACTGTTTGAATACACACTCTTGTTTTTGTGACGTGCATAAAGACACATTAAGCTTCTGAACATGCTAATGAACTGTGTGTGGGTGTGGGGGTGTGTGGGTGTGTGTGTGTGTGTGTGTGTGTGGGTGTGTAGACGGCAGAGAAGAGGAAGGCCATGTTGGATGAAATGGCGGTGCAGCTGATGCAGGAGAAGTCCGACCACAAGGAGGCGCTGTCTGACCTCAAACTGCAGCACGAGAAGGAGGTGAGGGGGTTTATAAATACAGTCTAAGTTTGAGACATGATCTCTTCTCATCTCCTCCCACTCCTTTCCTTGTTTCCCCTCCTTGATACATTTAGTTTCCTCTCCTTGATACATTTAGTTTCCTCTCCTTGATACATTTTGTTTCCTCTCCTTGATACATTTTGTTTCTTCTCCTTGATACATTTGGTTTCTTCTCCTTGTTGCTTCTTGTTTCCCTTTTTTTGTTTCCTCTTACTCTTTCCTCCCCTCTCCTCTACTTGTTTTGCCTTCTCGTTTCCTCTCATGGTTTTTCTGTTCTTGTTTCCTCTCCTTATGTACTTTCTCCTGTCCTTGTTGCCTCTTTTGCTCTCTCTCATCTCCTTGTTTCCTCTCCTCTCCTCCCCTCTCAGGTCCTCGGGGTGAGGGCTCGATATGAGAAGGAGCTCCGAGGCCTTCACGAAGACAAGAACCGCTCCGAGGAGGAGATCCGACAGCAGCTGAGAGATGAAAAGGTAAACGAAGTAGGAAGAAGGGCCAAAATATCTGGGGAAAGACGTTTGACAAGTGTGTGTCAAACGTCATCACAGATAAATGGTAGTGTCCATGTATGGTTCTTATATCTGTGTGTGTGTGTGTTTGAGGCGCGGTCGAAGGCGCTGGAGGGGCTGCAGCAGCGGGTCGAGGAGCTGCAGGCTCAGGTTCTGTCCATGGAGGGAACCAAGGGATGGTTCGAGAGACGACTGAAGGAGGCCGAGGTCAGTCCCACACACACCTGGAGCACATTCTTTTTTTTAATGCTTTATTTATTGGTTTTTCCCACACAACACAATAACAGGAGAGAATAGAGTACAAATGCAGGTGCTTTATACAAAAGAAATACAAACAAGATGACAAAACAATTATGACCCATTGTACATATTTGTTGCCAGGAATACACAAATGAATGTAATGGAGTTTTGGCGAGTAGGCCCCGTTGTGCAGGAGTATCTTTCGGGAGGGGAGAACTGATCCGATGAAACCCCCCGGGGTCTAGACCCTGGTGGTGGTGAATGGATGGTTGGGTTCGGTCTGAAGGGGAGGGGCTTAGCTTGACCCTGGTGGTGGTGAATGGATGGTTGGGTTCGG